TGTGACGTTTCACCCTTTCCGAACCGCCTGACACCCATGGGTGTCAGGGACCATTTTCCCGAGGATAAGGTTTTTCGACAAAAACTTTTATGTTGTTACATATCTATGTAAGATACTCATGTCGTACGTACGAAAAAACCTAGACTTCAACCTCAAACTTGTCCCTAAAATAACTAAATACTAAATGGATGTCCACTTTGAGCTCACGAGGGAAGGTCAACAGGCCGGTCCGGCCATTTGCAATGAGTCGTATACCGTTGATAGTCGCCTCGAGGCGCTGAGCTCAGAAACTGCCTTCCTTATCTGCTAAACGATTCTTCTGAACGTAGTTATAAAGCAAGGAAGCGGCATGGTCGCCGACCAGTAAGTGCCCCGAAACTCGCGAGCAAGAGGTCGTGGGAACGGTTCCTCGGAGAGTCTGTTTCTTTTGTGCTTCGTGAAGATGTAGCCAGAAAGCTTCTAACTTCTTAATTTATCAACTTTGCCGTTAGTTCCCTGTACGAAAAAATTTCGAGCAGTTCCTTGCAGGTTTGGGCAGTAGTCGTCCATGTATGAACATGGTGCCCGTAATGCAAGTGTCAGGCTTTTTCGCGGCAAACAGGCGTGATATTCGTGTTCAGGAGATCAAACTACCCTTGGAGATAAGTTTCCTACCGAATCTGAGATTTTGACCCAACCCTAAAAAATGAGGTGAGTCAACCATCATATCATCAACCTATCGTTGAACTCTTGGCATGGAAATTGCCCTTCCAACCAAGATTTTGAAAAGAGAAACGTTCAACGGCTCACATTCCCGGAAATGATTTACATGACTCTGCATCAAAATTCAGGGAAGGTGCTTTTCCAGTTAGTTTTCGATTCATACCTTCTCTCGTTTGACTGTATGTTGACTGCCCTTTCTCGAGTGTAGGTCAAAATCTCAGATTCAGCTGGAAACTTGTAACCAGGGAAAATTCGGTCTCCTGAACACGAATATCATACTCGTTTACCGCAAAAACACCTTATCAGTGGGCTATGAGCGTCGTTTTCAGTCATGGCAAATATTAATTAAAAATAGCTTTCAACCTGCGCAGAGGTGCTCCCTAACTCCTTACACAGGCAGGTAAAGGCAGCAATTGAGGAGATACTGTCGCTAAAAGCCTTTCTGGTCATGTTTTCAAAAGGGCAAAACAGCAAACTCCACGAGAGACCGATCCCATGACCTCTCGCCCCTACAAGCCTGAGTGCGCATTTACACCCCTACGCCACGTCAACCAAGAAGTGCTCTTCCCGCTTGGCTTATAGTGGCGACTCCAATGATAGCGCTTATATACTGCGTTTAAGTACAGTGTTGAGGGGAAAACTTCCGTAACTCCGTTCAGAGCACCGTTTAGCAGATAAGAAAAAACGCGGTTTCTAGCTTATCGTCTCAAGACGAATGCATAGGTATATACCTCATTGCAAATGGCCGGACCGGCCTGGTGACCTTTCCTCGTCAGCAAAAACAGTTATAAATCATTTTAAAACTCTTCATACAACAGAATTTATGACACTACCTGCATGTCGTATCTGATGCGATTAAACTCAAACGTTTCGGACACTTCCCGCTCCCTTTTCCCCCATTACAACTTATTTTGAGCAGTTTTCATTCCTGCCTCCCTTTTATGGCCCTATCACTTTCATTATGCAACAGTTTTCCTGTCATATTCACTAGATATGTCCTCTTAATTATGAAAAATACAAAATGGGCAACAAGTAACGGGACAAAGTAGTGATTTCAGTGGAAATACAGGTCCTATTTATGCTCGCCGTGTAGCGCCCGCCACGGCAAAAGTGCGCGGTCCGGAAAGGGTTAACTGAGTCCCACTCGAGCAGATCCACTTTTACTCTGCTCCAAAATCCAAAAAGTACATCGAGGAGGAAGTATATGACGGCCAAGGTTTTAGCATAAATAACATATATGTTGGAAAGGACAACCTTCAAGAACCATTCCTGAGGTTCGCAATTGGCCTTCTTAGGAGGATTCCTCCTCCCACTTTCTACTGTTTCTCACCCATGATCGCCACTGATGGCCTATACCACAAAACCAAGAAAACCCTTCAGTTAACTCGGTCAGACGGATGGTTGACCTGGATCAGGAAGGTGACATTATAGCCAACCCCCTTCCTCCCTTTTTTGCGACAAGGCGGCAGCACGAGCTCTCATTGCTCAAAACTAACGCTGACATCATGATGGCTGGTTTTTAGACTCAATCCCCGCTAAAAAAGTACGATCGAAGACCAGTTTTCAGGTTTTCAGTCTTTTTCTGAATATTTCCTTGGAATTTTTTTCTACACTACCACATTTCTTGGCGGATCTACGAAAAAATCAGCGCACTCCTGGATATAAACGAAAAAGGAAAATACGCTGGAAATTCAATTTGCAGTACAGTTGCGTTCTTGAAGTGGCAGCTGAAATGGCGTCGGATAGAGTTACCTTCCGATAACCAGTAAATCCCTAGATTTATACATTAACAAATCAATTATGGATGGTAGCGGAGTGAGTGACAATACTTGCTCAGCTGCCTTACTGCACTATCCGATCGGAAACACGATGAAGTGAAAATATTTACCTTGAAAAAAAGCTACAAGTTTAATTTTATTACATAAGCTGGTGCTCCTAGAGACCAACATGAGCAATCAAAAACTTCTATATGGCACTGCCAGCTCCTTCTACGCTCTATTCACATAATTTTGTATAATTTGAATTTCTGCTCTACAACTTAGCATAAAGGAGAGAACAGCGCAAAGGTTTCCTTTCCAGAAACGGAATTAGGAGACGTTCTGCACCTACCCTAGCCGACACTTGTTGAAATTCTATTTAACCTTACATTATTGTGACTGGTAATTCTCTCTGAAGTGCCACCTATACAGTTGCTAATTGCACCAAACGAAATACCCCTATTAATCTTTGGTCTCACGAATTCCAACACAAATTATGGTTACAACTTCCCGATGCTGCCAATCTCGGCAAGGACACTGGACAGGACTAACCAGGAAAGGCATTCAACTTCCCATGGAACTTTGAATGAGACCCAGATATATCGATAGAGCTTCAAACGCTGATTACAAATATGGAAACTAAAACTGCAAAATGAACCTGCCAAGGAAGTTGTGAGCAGTCAAAGTTGGCTGGAAGTAAAGCATTACACTAGCCTCCGGGCTTTCAAAGTCGCCGTGGAGTAGTGGTAGTGCTCTCGGAATTTGCGCTCCGACGGGAGGAGAGCTTATGACCTCCAGGGTGAATAGCGAGACCT